AACTTCATTAAAATAAACATGGTGGTCTCCAACTGATGAAACAACTAAAGATAAACAAGAAACATCTTTTTTTGTCTGCAACAGTTACACACAAGAATATTGTCTATCACTTTGACCATTGAAAATGATTGGAAAATTGTGGTAATTCATTGTATTTTTCTGAGCCTTTGTTTGGGGGGATCCAGTAGTTTCTATATCCTCTTCAGATCTCCCATAAATGAATTACAGGCATTTTCAATTAAATTATTGTCAATATGTGAAGTTTTAATCATTTTTAACAAATAAACTAGGCTGTATCTTGGTAAAACTACCAACAGCATTGCCTGGTGAGTTATACATTATTTCATTGTTCAGCTGGACATTTAAAATATGGCAACTTTTGTTCATAAGCAGCCATCATTCATTCCATAAATTGCTACTGAACAGACTTGAGTAACAAAAATCCATCCAAATGTCCTGGAAAGGTGCAAGGCCCAAGCGAGACATTACACAGAAAAATGCAAAAATAGCAGCTTTACGATATTAAAATACAATTTGCAATTTTCACTTCCTCTATCTATAGCCTTAGAACACGGGTGTCAAACTCGCCACGTTACGTGACATGTCGCGACGTATCGTGACTTTTTTTGCATTGCCGGAGCTGGGGTGGGCGCAGCCTCCATATGATACAACCGGCCCGCAGGCCAGCAGTTTGACACCCCTGCCTTAGAACATTACCATTACTATCTTGATTGCTGAAATCTGATACTGTAACTTCATTTTTGCCATTTTCATTTGGGGAACACGCAGTATATTATTTTAGTATATTTGTGGAACAGAAGTATATTATAAACCCTAAAATGATCAGATCACAATTAATGAACTATGATCATCCCAGAACTTTTCCCCAAACCAAACTATGTGCACTGATTCAATGTAGCTACCCATTTGCTATCTGTCATTGAAAATGTTAAACATGTGTCCCTCAGACACCAAAATGTTCCCTATTCTTCTATTGTAGGATTCATAGGTTGTAATTGAGATGTTCAGGTGGCAACTCACATTGTGACATCCAATGATATCACCAGGAAGCACAGCTTTGTTTTTTTTAATGACCCCAGCAACCACACCCATCTGTAACCAAAATATGGCTGCTTGTTTCTCAATGGCACAAGATCATATTGCTGGAAAAGTACAAATGGGTTATTGGCAGCCTATAAATAACCTCTAGATCATAGATTAACCATCCCTGTTCCATAACTCGAAGAGGCCAACATCTGAAACCAAGACTGTGTTGAGACTGTATACAAATATATGTTCATTAAGATGCATAGCACAAGGCTTCATAAACTCTCACAAACATTCTTCATCCTTTGTTCCTATCTTCTCTTTCCTTTCTGACAATCCACTGCAGATTCTTTGATATTTAATATTTGCTAACTAACGAGATATTATTTTCTTTATATAAAAGGCTTGATCATTTGAAGCAAAGAGAGAAAAAGGGTTTCTTGATTCCTTCCATTTCTGCAGTGTGTCTTCTCAAAATTGTTCTCAGCCACTTTCACAAATGGATAGAAAATATGGGATCCTACTATCTTTTCTCCTATGACTTTGGGGAGGAGTTAAAGAATATCCCTTCCTCCCCATTCATCCATTCAAATTAAGGATCTCTTACACCCTTTTTCAGTTAAGGCCCCTAGGCAAAATAAATATGTCTTTATTCTTCTGAAAACTAATTTTAAAATTTTAGAGAGAGGGCCATGCAAGAAGGCTAGATAACAAGCATTTAAAAAAGAGTAGTCTGATTTAAGCGCACTGGAAAACCAAAGATCAGTAGGAGGGGATATTAGGCATGCTGGAGAATACTGAGAAGTGAAGCTGTTCACACATGAACTGTGAACATAACCAGTCCAAGAATGGTGGTTTTCTTTTTTAAAAAATCTGAAAACTATAACTTGATACTGTATGAAAAAGCCTGCTGCTCTCTCCCAGAAAATTACATGTTCTATAGAAATTATATCAGTTTAGATAGCTTTAGGTCTCTACTTTTTAATCCTTTACTATTTCACATGTGAGATGTATAGTACCTTTAGCTTTTTATTCCAGTTGTTTTAAAATATATTTTATAGGGTGTATACAATATAAAACCAAATATCTGAACTCTACCACTTTCTACCCTTATAGAATTCAGAATGTTATGGACAATTTAACAGGGAAAGAATGAGACAATCATTTTGGCTCAATTATTTATTAGCATCAGTTCTTGTTTTATTGCAGCAGACAGCTGGGAAATAAATGAGTGGGTTAAGCTTATTTAATGTAACAAATTCAACCTGGTGCAGACTCTATAGTTTACAAACTATTAGAAGTGTAGCTCTGTGATTTTTCAGACACTTCTTAATAACATTTAATGGATGCAACAATAAGACAAAAGTCAAAGCATTTTAAAAATCTCAGCTGGCCTCTTCAGATACTGGGTTGGATCCAAACTAGGTTTGCTGAACTAGTCTCATTCATATCAATAGGCTAACTGTGATTTAAGTCTAATAATTTCAATGGGAATTAAGTTCACATCACCCCATGTCTATGTAGAAGTAATAATGTGATTTTATAAAATATGAATGTATAAAATTTGGCATACAGTACAAAGAGTAAGGTAACTTCATTGATAGATTGATTGTTCTATATTATGCATGATGTAGATATGTTCAAAAATGGTGTACAATGTGTAGATAAAACTTTGATAACTTGAATATAAATCAAATAGTTCTAAGTTTAATGAATAATTTTGTATTTGTTTAAAATATTCAAATGATATGAATATTTGACTTTTTATCCATCACCTTCAAGTTGGAATATGAAAGAGGTATCTAATCTTATGAAAGAGGTATCTAATTGTAATAAGATCTAATTGTTTAAAACACTGGTATTCCCCAATACCGTGGATCAGTATAATTCCAATCCCTTCTACTTTCTGTTTTGCAGGGTACTTTTCCTCTGTCACAGATTTATGTCCACATCAATTCATGCTCTGTTTTGGGGCAGCCCAAATTCCCCACACATCCATAGCAATGCAGGATTTCCTCAAAAGCTGCTACTCCCTCAACTTCCTAAAAGACCATGCATGATCATTTGATTTGTCACATCTTAAGAAATACCTGTGCAACTCTGAGCATGTACAGAAAGTATGTGCAACTTCCATTGGCCTGAGGAGCGTGATAGACCATAAGCACTATGTCTAAAAGTGGGTCATTTTTAAGGAACTTAAGCAATTGATTTTATTCTTTAAAATCCTCCAATTAAAAAAATGCAAAAGGGAAGGGCTAAAATGTCTGGACCCACCTACACCAGTGGGTAAAAGGCAGCTCTGGAAGACATTTTTGGCAGCTTTGATGTAAAGCAATTTTGCTGTGAAGGAAAAAAAAACCGAAGAAGAAAAGCCATGATGTGGCTGTGATCACTTCATACATTTTCAGAAGAGAAACTGATTTTCTTTTCCTCTGGGGACTTAGCTTGAGTTTCATCCTACTATGTTTAATCTATGCTTCATTTTACTTAACATCATTCTGCTATGGAGGTGCTGGGGACACAAAACAACAAGAAGAACAACAATGCCTAAAACTGTTTAATTCTTTTACATTCCTACTCTTCTGCAAGCAGTTGTAGTGCTTACCAGTAGTTCTTAAATTAGCTTCCATCCATATAGCAATCACAGTACCAGCACTGTTCTACCAACATCGAATACTCCATTTTTATTTTTATTTTTATATTTTTGCAAAACATGAGATCCCTGATTGGTTTAAAGGTGAATCTATAGCTATGTTGTATTTCTACAAGTGGAGGCGGGCAGAATCAGGACGTTATAATACATTTCTAAATGATTTAAAGTAGACAAGATTACAGCACTACTCCCAGTTACAATATCCCCAGATCAGAACTGGGCTAGAGCTGGTCAAGGCTTCAAATACAGAAGAAGAGCTGTAGTTTGTAAGGTTTTGTAAAGTTTCCTTTTTGTTCCCAGAGGAAAGATAGATATTTGGGGCATGAAAGTAATATAATAAGACACCTTAAATATTTTTCAGGCCAACAGGTATCAATTGGGTGAGTCATGTCAATACTAATTTTCTGGCAAGGAAAAGCATGTCAATTTGGCTGTTTGATTCTCTGCAGAAGTAGATGTCCCACATGAAGTTTTATTTGGATGACCATAATTCATCTGACTACCCTCTTCAAGGCTTCATTTTCACTGTGAGATTAGTAGATTCTCCTAATAAAGCTGCTTATGTAGAAATGCCCTAAAATGATCAGTTTTGATATGAATTCCTGATAACCATGAGCATTGGGGGAGGAGGTGGTAATAAAAATATATGTCATCAAATATCATAATTTATGTATTTGAGGATACGTTGGCTCATCAGACACAACTAGGTAATGGTGGAATTTGTGTAATGACATCATCAGGAATATGTCTTTTTTTTTTTAATCAGTGGTGAACAATGAAAATCAACCATAGCACAAACACTTTTTTGTGATCCTTCTCTACAACAAAATCCACAAGTATTGCCATTTTTCTTCCTTAAAGTGTATCTTAAAGTATAATTCCTGGAGCAATACTGGAGCAAGTCATCCCAAGTATTAGGTCTTTCCTTTATTGTCTGAATGTTGATAAGCTTCATCTTAAAGGAAATAGACTTCCATAAAAACAAGAGGAAGGTGGCTACTCATTTCCCCTCCTTCCAGTTTTACTTCAGTTTTATGAGAAGTTTGACTACAGAAATGTTTCTGCATCTTTTTCTGAAAGGTCTTCAAATCCCTAAGACTTTATTCTGTTTCTAATGTCATATTGCACAGTAACACACAAAGAACCCTATGTGTCCAATATTGATTAAAGATACATACACTGTTGTTTCAAGAACAAACAATTGTGAATTGCAAAGCATCTACTCATAATATAGTGTGTGTTAAGTTCTAAACACTGATGGGAGGTGCTACTCTAAGGAGGAATGTAGTGGTTGTCTTACCTTGTAATTGTTCCCAGAAACACCTTGGACTGCTCTGGTTTAGATTTGTAAACCACTGGGAATCCACAATGGCTGGTGCTGGCAAGGACCTGAGCCAAGAAAGCAATGTTTTCCTTTAAGTTGAAGACTCTGACGTGAAGCTTCATGACATCTTTGGCAGCAAACAATTCCAGATTTAACCTGAAAAATACAAAGCAGACAGGCATAAGTTATTTAGTAAACTGGAAACTAAGCATGCAATACCATTTTAGCATATGATGGTTTTATAGTGTGCTAGTGAATTCAAGCTAAAATTAGGTTTATTTATGAATATTTTGTTTAAAGCATGAGTAGTGATTAAGCGTACCCTTCCTACCTATGAGTAAAATCCATGATAAATTCAACCAGATGTAAGCCATGGTTTTTTACTAGACGACAAGCATCTTTCATCAATTTATTTGAGCTTTTGAGCTTTCTGTTTTAAAATCCTAACTGAAAACAAACTGCTTAGAAAATCACGTTCAGTTAACAAAATGTTCTTGGAATGAAGAAAACTATAACAAAAATATAAATGAATTTGAATTTTATAAAAATAGAATAATGATTAGTATGGGTGAGACCAACTGTCCAGTTCAATTTCCTGCTTATGTCTGTGACCTGTGAAAATGGTAGATGATCTTAGAAACCATGAATAACTGCTTACATGATGAATAACAAGAGAACATTTGTGCCATGCTGGTTTTACTTATAATATTTTAACAGTAATAAAATCTGGTCACCTCACAAATTTCATGGAGTTACACTAAGAAGATATAAAATTTTAAATAAAATCTGCGGACCCTAGAAGGAAGTCAATTATTACAATGAAGCAAGGCCATTAAGTCACACTTAAGTTATGTCTTGTTTCAAAGGCAATCCTTTATTTTAGAGAGAAAAATATTTTGTCCAGACTTGATCTATAATTAAATATGTTAAACTAGAATGACCATAACTAGGTACAAAGATCCTGGCATTCAAAGTGGTACATCAGACTTTTCTGTATCACTTTGCTGCCATCTCATGGTCACCCTGATGTTTGCAGTCCACGTATGTAGTCCTAATATAAACCTACCAGAACATTCCTCTCGAATAACTTTTCTTAATAGAATACATAGCCATAAGGATCAGTGCAAAGGAACAGTTTTATTCATTCATAAGTTTCACTGTAGTTTGTGTTCTAACTCAAAATATTCACTTCACTTGGTGGGAATGTTTATCTGTTATTTAGCTAGAGATTTTCATCAGAACAACATTGGATTTTAGTTTAGTTTCTTATAAACCATTTTTTATTATGCTGAGTAACTATTAAACCTTATATAAATATATTTCATGAATTTATTTTGGGGATGGCTTTATTTTCCTGGTAATTGCCAGTTTCATTTGGTTAGCTCAGCTATGTTTGGATTCTGAATTATATACAACACTGTAGGTTTGCCTGTTATTATTAACTGGATGCATGACTAAATCTTATTGGTAATTTATCATTTACGACTTTTTTGCTGTTACTCAGTACATCTAGTTTTGGTTGGAAAAAAGTAATTAATACCCCTACTTACAAATATAAAAGGTTATTTTTCATATTCACAGTTTGATTCTTTACATTGCTGAATGTTTATATTTTATTTTGATGCACCATTTAATAAGTAAATAAAAAAACTAGAAAAGACTCAGTCTGGTCTATTTCCCCTTTATATCTGATTTTTTTTCTTTCAAAATGAGGGAAGGGTTCTAGCAATGTCAGGTTATATAAAAAGAGATGTGATTTGGTTGTTCAGTTACATAAGTGGGTGGGAACTTAAATTTGAAATATATTTCAGTTAATTAAATATGTGTGTCCCTAGCTCCTCCACATAAGATTTTAAAAGTTAATTGTTTTTCAACTAGCAGTAGAACAGATGAGACACAACATTCTAATTGTATTATGAGAAGAATGCAAGTCACAAATACAACCAGAACCTTAACAAAATCATTTCTTACTTAAATCCATCTATGGGCATTTCTACTGAATTTTACAAGGTAAACTAGCAAAGAATTTTGCAAAAATCCAGTAAGACCATTCTGCTTCCCCTTTTTAATTTTTCTTTGTACTAAAAGCAATTTTAATAGTAAGAAAGCCATTTTACTACAGTGAATTCTATTAACAGTTGTTATATTTGATATTATCTTTATAACATATATAGTATTAAGTTATAGCTGTAAAAATAAGATTTCCTGATTTCCAAGAATTTTCTGAAGCTAGAATTTCATCAGTAGGGGGCTGAAAGTTTTCATTTTTGTAATATTTCAAGCATTTCTCTGCCCAATCATGTGACATCATCATGTTTGAATATTCATGTCCCCAGCCAATATGCCTCCAGTGTCAATAGAATGTTATTTTTACATTTATTTATAAAGCATTGAATGTTTGATTTAATAATATTTAGATTCATACTTTTCATTGCATCATGCAATCTAGCCAATATTTACTGCAAATAATTTTGCTCCTCAGCCAACAACACAGCATCATCACAAAAGGTACACACATATTATATCCCAAACCAATAACCCATTAACTTCATATAGATTTATCCATAAATATATTTTATAACTAAAGGGACATCACAGATTTACTAATTTCTGCTCACTGTTGAGCCAGTCATTAAATATTCTATATATCTTCACACATGCTTCACTTCTATTATTCCTCTTATATTAATCAACCAACATTCAACTTAAAGCTGGAACAAAATAATCCACAACTTAGGTTTATTCACTTTGTCATACACCTTTCTCTAAATTAAAGTACAATAAATTTTATTTTTTGCAATTCTATTTTTCAATGATTTGAAGAGATTTGTGGTTAAAAGACATTCAGAACTGAACTTTTTCTAGCAGATAGTTACCAAATAATTACTATATCCATTTATTTCTGGATGCCCAATAATTTTTCATCTTATTAACTCTTATTCAGTTCTCACCTATCCATTCATGCCCCTTTCCTCTGGATCCCATTCATCTAGAATATTGTATAATTTCCATAAATTCACTTGGAATGAGGCTGAATAAATCATAGCTGGGCAAGACAGACCTGTCTAGTGACATTGTAAATAATGAATTAAGAAAAGCTCCAATAGTCAACCATAAACCAGAAAAATGTAACATAACCTAATCAAACATATGTTAAAGCATCATAACAAATATAAAAGCTAACTCAATTACTCATAAACAATTAAAATATAGCAACTAGACAGTGGTGATCAGAGGTTAAATGAGGAGGCCTTCAGTGCAGGTTGAAAACCAAGTTTAAAATATGGTGCACAGCACAATTTAGGTCCCAAAGAAATGGTATTGTCTGAACCTCTCCTTCCCATTATAGAATAAGATTCTGATTGCTAATATTAAAGATCAGACAGAAAAGAGGAAGAAAAGGAATCACATTGTTATTATTCCTAAAATACAACAGATCTTTGCCTTTATAAATAGATCTTATTTTTTTAAAAAATAAGCCAGCTGCATCAGTCTCTGCATCATCACAGTGGGATGATCTGGTTGTTTTTAAGTGGAAAGCCTCAGTAATTTCTTTTGTCTGCCAGCTGGTGACTAGATATTGGAACAGCCTTAACTAATTAGTAGAGTGTCCCATCCAATAACTAGATTCACTATGTCTACCACCTGCAAACTACTGCATCTGACATCAATGAACCTTCCTTCTGGCATATAGAAACTATTCAACCTCTGTTTTTCTCTCTCAGCAGGAAGTCAGTTGCTCTCTGCGCATTATCTATAATAGCCCCAAAAAGAATGGAGGATACATAAGCACTCCATAAGCCTGGAACAAAATATATGAATTCCATATGTTGGTCTCTTGAGCTTTGTTTTGCAAAGTGTGTGGACATGGAAGAGATTTTATTTCATGGAGCTTATCAGAAATAGAAAATTTAGAAGTCAGTAAGAGAGAGTGTTTTAATATAAAGCAAGTACCCATAAAGAATAGCAGTTTTTGCTACAGCATCTGCTGAGCTTTTGCTAGTGTTTTGTTCAAGTACTAAGAAAGTTCTCGGTCCTACATTATCAGATTGGATAAAAAACAGATATAAAACCCCACAAGCAGAAGAAAAGAGGATATAGGGTTTAATGTATTATGAGAAGCATGGTATAGCTAGGCAGATCCCAAACCAAAGATAGTCAGAGCTTCAGCAAGTGGGTGGTGGAAATTAATTAATGAATTAATTAGTTAAACAGGTTGTATCACGACCAATCTAAAGTATAATATGAAATAGTGATGCTAATCTTCATGTAGTTTATCATTCATTTCAGTTATACATACATACAATATGCATGTGTACTGCTACATGCTCCTGATATATTTCATGATGGAAAAGTACAGAAAATTGCCATTATACTACTGATACTAAGTATGTTTCTAAAATATATTGTAAAATGTTTTCTCATATCTGGAGAATCTAGCTACTAATAACTTTAAGAAACAAGTAAGAGGTGAAACAAAAAAAATGTTGTTAGCTTGTGCTCTGCTCTTCAATAAGAATCATAGGGCAATTCATCATCATATTAGAATCCCCAAAATTTAAAAGAGAGCAATATGATTGTTTGACTATATCACAACTAAAATATGGGTATTCCAACAGCCATTTCTTCTTGTCTTATTTGTTATTTTATCTCATTAGATTGCCAAAATGTGCAACCTCATTCTTTGACCAAGTAACTAAATTAATATACAGTACTAGTGAAATGCTGTGGACATAGTATACTTAGACTTCAGCAAGGCATTCAACAAAATAGACCACAATCTACTTCTTAGAAAGCTAAAAAAAAAAAAAAAAAAAAAAAAAAAAAAAAAAAAAAAAAAAAAAAAAAAAAAAAAAAAGAGGGATAGACAGCATCACCATCAGATAGATTTTTAACTGGCTGACAAACCATACTCAATGTACCGTCCTTAACGGTACTACGTCTACATGGAGGGAAGTAAGCAGTGGGGTACCACAAGGTTCTGTCCTAGGCCCAGTACTCTTCAACATCTTGATAAACGACTNCTTATTTGTTATTTTATCTCATTAGATTGCCAAAATGTGCAACCTCATTCTTTGACCAAGTAACTAAATTAATATACAGTACTAGTGAAATGCTGTGGACATAGTATACTTAGACTTCAGCAAGGCATTCAACAAAATAGACCACAATCTACTTCTTAGAAAGCTAAAAAAAAAAAAAAAAAAAAAAAAAAAAAAAAAAGAGGGATAGACAGCATCACCATCAGATAGATTTTTAACTGGCTGACAAACCATACTCAATGTACCGTCCTTAACGGTACTACGTCTACATGGAGGGAAGTAAGCAGTGGGGTACCACAAGGTTCTGTCCTAGGCCCAGTACTCTTCAACATCTTGATAAACGACTTAGATGAGGGAATAGAAGTGGAACTTATCAAATTTCCAGATGATACTAAGGTAGCAGGAATAGCCAACAGTCCACTAGTCTTAGTGGACAATCAATTAAATATGAGCCAACAGTGTACAGCAGCAGCCAAAAAAGCCAATGCAATCCTATGTTGCATTAACAGAGGGATTCAATTAAGATCACATGAGGTACTAATACCATTCTATAAAGCCTTAGTAAGACTACATGTAGAATACTGCAACCAATTTTGGTTTCCACACTATAAAAAAAGATGTTGAGACTCTAGAAAAAGTGCAGAAAAGAGCAACAATGATGATTAGGGGACTGGGGGCTAAAACATATGAGGAACAGTTACAGGAACTGGGCATGGCTAGTCTACTGAAGAGAAGGACCAGAGGAAACATGATAGCAGTCTTCCAATATCTGAAGGGCTGTCACAGAGAGGAGGGGATCAACTTATTTTCCAAAGCACCTGAAGACCAGACAAGGAATAACAGATGCAAACTGATCAAGGAGAGATTTAACTTAGAAATAAGGATAAATTTTCTGAGAGAACAATCAACTAATGGAACAGTTTGCCTTCAGATGTTGTGGGAGTTTCATCACTGGAAACTTTCAAGAAGAGACTGGACTGCAATCTGTCAGAAATGGTGTAGAGTTTCCTGCTTGGGCAAGGGATTGGACTAGATGACATATAAGGTCCCTTCCAACTTTGTTACTCTAATTCTAATTCTCATATCTCAGATCAAGACACTTCTCTCAAACTCACTGAAAAAAATATGCATGTCAGCTTAGAAAAAATTGGAATTATTTTAGATATAATTTACATTGAACTTCAAGGTGACATATTTCCACCTAAAATTTTTCAAAATATTTTTTCTATACATTTTCCATCCATTAAAATATATATCCATTCCAATTTTCAAAGTCCATTATTAACATTGTGGAAGAGGAAATTTGAAAAGTTCAAGCATGCAATAAAAATCAACTATTCAATATAATGCCATCCTGTTTTTATTTAAAACAATATGCAATGGCTACAGCATGCTCAGAATTCTTGGCTTCAGCTTTATCAACTCATCAGCTTTATGTGGTATGGCAGGCAGAAATCTTCAGTGAAAGCTTTGACAGAAGTAAAGTTAAACTAGAACAGAATAAGCATCAGACTTACTCAAGTCTTTAACTGACCTTATTGCATTAAAGTGCTAGACGTAAAATATTTTCTCTTGAAGTATACAGGGGTTTATAAAAGCAAGAAGCTTTGCCAAGTTGTGGATGTGTTCAAAAACTCTTTCCCTCATTAAAAAGCACTTCCTGACACCTAGCAACTTTTGAGCATTCCAGCCTGCTAGTTTATAACTAGAAATACAACATAACTAGATGTCACAGAGCACTCTTTTTACTTATGTTCATCTCAATCAGCCAAAATTTAAAACATAAAAGCTCATGTTATCAGAAATAAATATTTGCACACAAAAGTAAAAAAAAAAGCTACACTATGCAATTAGAAAAGCAGTCTTTCTTGTTCATTGTTTATTAATGGAAATTTGAGACTTTCAATCTGGCGAGTCAGTCAAACTTGGCTGAAAATAGACCATTTTCTCATCAGAGTACAAAGAGAGAGCAATTCCACAAAAGAGGAGAGAAATAGAAGTAGATATATGTTCCCATTCCTCTTCCAAAAAGTTACATTGCCATCATTCATTACATTCTAAGTCACTTTTAGTTATAACACTGCATTCGTTGTGGATATGTGATTACAAAAACATGGGAATAGAGGGACAGGTTACTATTCAAGAAGTCTCGGCCAATAAAGTCTTGGCACTCAGTTATAGCCTTCTAACTGAGAGCTGCAACCCATTGGAATTTGATACAAAGGACCTGAACATAGGATGAGTGAATGATCTTAAATTGCGGCAGGCAATAGACCTACTGAATAAGTTGAACTTGAACAGCTTGCTGGCTGGTAGACCAGATTGCCACTGATGGAAGATAAGAAAAGGTCTATGAGTTTGTAGTGAAATTGGGCCCTAAGAGTGAGATTGGGGACATGTTCCCCTCTTTCCCCCCAGTGTATCATCTTGGCCCTAATCTTTTGCCACAGGCTTACCTAGAAATGTCTCCAGTGGAAGATGGAATAGCAGCCAAGTTGCCCCTGACTGTAGTGGGAGAGAAAGCTATTGCATCTAGATTTGAAAAAATAGGGATAGATGGCTTGCAATATTATGTTGTAGGAATAATTCTTACTATTGTATGTGTGAGTGAATGGTACTATTGTACCATTCACTGAGGGGAGGCCAGTGAAAGATATTTACAACAGCAGGTCCTATGTGCATTCTGGCTGGATTGGAGATGCCCATTTGGTTATATGGGCATGGAGGCATTAGGTAGCCTCAGCAAGATGTGGGCATAGGTAGTTACAGTATATCTTTGAGGCCATGGCAAAGAACATTAGATGGGCCATCACAGGAGGAGAAATACTTCCAATATCATAGAGATCTTGATTTCTGACCCACCCCAAGGCACCATCCTAAGGGTCAGATGGCTAAATTGCTGGATTACTTTGCTTTAAGGTGCTTAATAATTGATGCCAGGTCTATTTGCAATTACATTGGCCCTGCAGATGTTGGATGGTACCATAGGGCAAATCAGAAGAAAATTGCCCCATTTCAAAGATGTGTGTGTGTGTGTGTGTGTGTGTGTGTGTGAGAGAGAGAGAGAGAGAGAGAGAGAGAGAGAGAGAGAGAGAGAGAGAGAGAGAGAGAGAGAGAGAGAGAGAGCTTTCAGGTCACTCTTGACACCTGGAAACTACCTGGACTAATCTCCCCTCAATGTGACTGCCGGGTCCCACATCAAACTGTAGATCACATTGCAACAGGTTGTAAGCTGAGGGCAAATATAGGTCCAGTATCCGATTTTTTTCATATAAACAATGTTGAGCTTCAATGGCTAGATGGCCTAGATATTGGTATTTGAACATAGATCTTTTTAACATTTATATTTTATTGTGTTTTACTAATCTAGTGAAATGTTAATATCTAGTGCTAGTCCATGTATGATACGTCATACACTAAATAAATAATAGTGAGATCAAATTCCAAATGGATATTTCAAGCCTTGCAATGTTTTGGCACACTTAGTTTACATCTTATTAATAGGATTATTTTGAAACTGTAATACCTGATGACGCACATAGGGTTCTCTGCAATATGAATTCTGTCACTTATTGACTTGACCCATGCCTTTCCATGTTTCTTTGGGTAGTCAGGCTGAGTGTGAGTGATTGGATACAAGAAATAATCAAATCAGTGAATACGAGAAACATTGAATGTAGGAAAGATTACTGTTTTAAAATCTTTCTATAGTCTATTTTTTCCAAGAAAATACACTTCAACGCTAACAAATAATGGTCAGTTCCACATTCTGAACATTTCATCTATCTCGTATCCTTCATGAATTCTTTCCATTTTTAATTATAAATAATAAAATCAATGATGTCATTTTCCACTTCCATATGTACATACAAAAAGAGCTCTTAAACACTTATTTGAAATATATAGTTTTTCTATACAGATGCTTGTTAAATACTTACTGTTCTCATTCATTGTTGAGTCTCCAATGGCCTATTTTTTTCTGCATCTCCTCTTCATGTTTCAACCCACCCAGTGTTATTGATAGTAATTATATACAATATTGCACACATATATCCCAAAATATTCCTGACACTATCAAAATTTAAATTCAATGTTTCAGCTCTATGACAAATTTCAGATCAGAAGTCACACAAAATGTGATCTGATGTCTAATCCTGTAGACATGACTAAGTAAGGAATACCACCCATTGTACTGTCATTTGATCCACCCCATTCCCAGAATTCATTTAAAGCTCATAAAAAGAAAAAAAAACACTTACCCATTTTTATTCTGGTAGGCAAATGGTTCAACATCTAGATATGGTATGCTTTTTAATTTCAGTAAAGAACTGTACAAAGACATGTTAAACCAGTCACCAACCATTTTTGCTAGCATGACAGCCAGCATGATGAGTAACAAGGATTGTACATCATTTGTGATCTCTACCTAAATGTGGAGGGAAAAGAAAGAATATATTAATAGAAAATAAATGTATCAATGATATCAATAGTCTTTAAAAATGAGTTATAACTGCAATGTGGTCTTTAAATAATTACTACCATTAAATATGTTCAACTAAATGTGCTCAAAAGCTTACACATAATCAGGAGCTGGGCCTTCTCAAGCTTCCTGATAAGCTGATGATTCAAAATAGATTCATGTATTCCCCCCC